CATACATACATACATGTGTATACATGCATATGAAAGTGTATACACATGTACCTATGTACATATCTACGCGTATGTATGTGTATGCACACCGTGAATCGCAAACCCTGTCGCAAAAAGGGCTGCGGATCTAGGGCAACCCTCACCCCGAAGCCGATCAAGGAAGCACAAGTAAGGGTTGAGGCTTCAGAACATGGGGTTTTGGATGGTTCTAGGGTTCAGGTTTTAGGGCTTAGGNNAGGGTTAAGGGTTTAGGGTTCAGGATACAGGTGTAGCCGTAAAACCGGAAGTCTTGAGCCGTACCTGCCTGTGTTGTCCATCAGGAACTCCTGAAGGGAAAAGGTATTGATAACACTGCGGTTGCTGTGCCTAATGTAGGGGCCTTGGTACCTGGAATAGGGTTTTGGGGTATATTGTACTCTAGTCATAGTACGGCACCCCCAAAGTAGTATAGGCAATTATTAAGGCCCCTATAATATCCGGATTCTTCCTGCCATCAACTGTTCTAGTTGCTAACATTGCTGATGTTATGGCCGTGATATACCTACAGCGATTATGACCATTGTCCCTGTGAGTACTCTTCTTCTCAGTCGCGTCTGCTGTCACACTCGCTGTTGCATTGCATGCGCCTGCCAATTATATATTCCTATTCTACAACCCTAATCCCTAAACCCTACACCGTGCACCTGCTGTCAAAACAAAGGCACCCTTTTGATCTGGCGAATCTTATACACTGTTGAGGTTGGTCTTGTCCTTACATACTACTAGGCAGATTTCGCAACATGTTAGTTTAGCACTGTTCCTACTAAAGTGCCCATCACTCGTGCTAGAGGTGGCTGTGATCATGCCTGTCAATACTCAGACGAGTGCTAGGTCCTCCCCTGACTGGATCTATTGGCGAATTACAGTATGCGATTATGGAAAGCTAGACCTTGCGGGGTGATATTCTGCACAACTTGGTGCGTCATGTAACTCTGGCCCACCAAACCTGCTACAATCGATTGCTTCCTCGATAAGCAGGACCCTGCAGCTTGCGAATTCATCTAGTTGCATACACTAATTTCCAAAAGTAGGCCGCAGCGAAACGAGCCAACATGGAGGAAGCGCTCGATTGCGGGATTACTTCTTAGCTGGCCGCAAACCCCCGAAGTGTATGTCACTCATCCCGAAGCCCCAAACCCCAAACCGTCATAGCAAGGGCCCTTCATTTTCTGCTTTTATAGGGGTCTGAACGATTGGAACACGGCGTTGCGGTACAACTCTACAACACCCATGTTACACCCTGAATCCCAAACCCTAAACCCAAACACCCCAAACACCAAGGACCCTTCATTGCGCTCCTGAAGCGCCGTCGTGCCCGTCTTGTGGGGTCCGACATGAACGATGAGCCGAGGCCCCTCGCAGGGAACCTTGGTGGCTATGCCTATTGGGTTCCTTTCAGGCATCCTTTTGGGGCTTGTAGGATTCCTTTTCGGGCTGCCTTTCAGGCTGCTCTCGGACCTCTTTGGTGTTGCTTGCCCTAAACCCTAAACCCTAAACCCTAAACCCTAAACCGGATGGTTCTATGTTTTGAGGTCTGTGTCTCCTGAGGCTTTGGACTCTGATGGCGTCGGATCCGGGTTTGCGTCGCTGAACCCTACCTATAGTATCCATTGTAGTTCCTTTTTGATACCTTCTATAAATCCTCGATATATAATTGGTGAAACCAAGAAAGGAACTACAATGGAGACTATAGGTACAATGGAGACTATAGGTAAATCTGAGTATCTAACTGAGGGTTTGCGGATTGGCATAGGGTTGAGAGTGTAGTTTCAATTCCCGTTACCAAAGGAGTTCTAGTCAAGCTAGTCAAACTCCCCAAAGCGGAATGCGCATAAAGTAGAAGTAAAGTGCGGCCAAAGCACCGATGAATTCAGAATCTCGTGATTCTTTTGTGTGCTATATTGACTCTCTCCCCTTTGGGGTTTTGTAGTCACCTTTGTCAGCGGAGTCATCGCACAGAGCGTGGCGATGATGGCTAGAGTTCCCAGGACCACAGAGCATCGGCACAAAGCCATGCGCAGCAGCCGGAGCATTCCACGTCGAAAAACAACCTTCTGAAGTAACAAAAACGTAAACCCGACGAAACCCATAAAATCCTGAGACGCGGAACCCTGAACCCCCATTAGAAAAAGCCGCAAGATCTTTGGGCCAAGTTGAAGCCCAGTGCGCCAAAAGTCGTGGGCTTTAGCTCGTATGCTAAAGCACTTGAAGTTCCCTGATATCGCTTGATGTTGCATATCTAAACCCTACGCCCTCAGGCCCAAATCTCCCAGGATAATTTGTTGTGGGTTTCGGGGCTATAAACCCGAAACCCCCCAATCCTAAAAGGGTCTGAGGCGAGGGGACTCGAGATCTCCGGGATCCTTTCCTTGCAATCAGCTGGGCTAGCTCATCAGACGGGGGTTTTAAGGTTCAGGGTTCAGGGTTTAAGGCTTAGGGCTTTGGGCTTTGGGCTTAGGGTTCGGGCTCTATGGGGGTTGCTGAAAGGTTTTGTTTCATATAAGGCTCTTCTTGGTTCAATGGCATCTGAAGCTTTTTCGCACGTCTGCGGAGAAGGCGAAACAGATGTGCAAATGCAAGACAAAGGCTTCAGCAGACATCTAAACCCTGAGATACAAGTTATGATTCTTATTATTGCTAATAGTTGTATCTTTATGATTACTACTGTTCGTATTATTGTCATTCTTGTTGTTATTACAACTACTGTTGTTAGTAAGACTGTTCTTTGGTATTATTAGTCTTACTATTGGTATTACTATTCTTCGTGGTTAGAATAAGCCTCTGGGGCATATCATACCATACATCTACGACTACCAGGGGATGAGGGGATGCTGATATTGCTGCGGCCGACTCCTATTTTACCCTTCACCCCAGACCCTACCTGTGGCCGAAAAAACCTACCTTTTGAGGGTTCCCTGTTATGGTTTCTATATATAAGTCCTTGAAAAGGTAGGTTTTTGGGGCCAAAAGTAAACCCTAAGCTCTTCTAACAGCCCCAAAAGGCCTCGCCTGTCCATAAACTCTGGAGGTTGCGGGGTTATGGGTTTTCAGGATGTCGTGGGAGTAGGGTTGAGGGTTTGACATTGGGGGGTTTATTCGCCGGCACGGCGCCAAAGCTTTACATTTGCCAAAGGGGGCTTCTCCAGAAGTTACAAGCCTGGAACAATGAACGGTCACATTCATACCTGAACCACAGTGGAATTGAGGGATTTACGGTTTAGGAATTTAGATGTTTACGCTTAGCCGCCCATAAACACGCTTGGATAAATCCTAAGCAGCCCTCATCCGTATATCCAGGATCCGAATTTTCAAACTCTGCTTGCCTGAAAGTCGGCTTTCAGGCTAAGCGCGGCGCGGCCCAAAACCTCTGAAAACAAAAACCTAGACCCCAAACAGACTCACATACCGACCCTGCACCGAAAACTCGACTAAAAGCGCTCAAAATCGTATTTAAAATATACACAAACCCTAAAAACCAGCCGCTTCTCGCTTGAGTTGTTAAGCCTACCCCAGTCCACAGTACCGTATACACTCATAAGGCTCTCGCAGCTAAGATTCTTTGAGGGAACATGCCTATAGTTTATGAGGTCTTGAAGAGGGCTACCACAAGAAGGCCGTGAAGGCCAACGAAAGCATCAAGAAAGGCCGCCCCAACCCTAAACCCTAAACCCTCAACCCCAAACCCCAAACCCTAAACCCTAAACCCTAAACCCCAAGCCCTAAACCCTAAACCCTGATCCCAAACCAGGAAAGCCCAAGCCTTGAATCCCAAAGAGCCGAACAACCAAAACCTCCAAACCTATAAAGCCTCTAATGTAGGGGCCTTAATAATTAGAATAGGGTTTTGGGGGGGTTCTTTATTGTAATTATAGTATAATATCCTAGAATAGGGTTTCGGGGGGTTCTTTATTGTAATGATAGTATAATATCCTAGAACAGGGTTTTGGGGGGTTCTTTATTGTAATGATAGTATAATATCCTAGAATAGGGTTTTGGGGGTTCCTATTGTAGTTATCTTATAATATGCCCCCAAGCCCTATTCTAATTAAGGCCCCTACTCCTTTAGCCACGCCGCATGTTGCGGAAAATACTGTCAGGCCCAAACCATAAACCCTAAACCCTAAAACCTAAACAGTATCACTGCCCCCTAAGCCCCAAGCAGCGACACAAGCGCTCCTTGAAAGCCTTGAGTTGATCAAGCCCCTAAGCCCATATCCCCAGACAACCCAAACCTAAACCCTGGAAACCATGAAACCTATATGTACATGGATGTACATGCATACATATGTATGTATGTATGTATGTATGTATGTATATATATATATATATATGTATGTGTGTTTGTTTATTCATGTTTATGCGTATTCACATACATATATGTACATAATATATATATATATATAACTATGCATAGATGTGTATGTGTGTGTATGCCATTTTTATGCAACAGCCCAAACCTGGGAACTGCTGCTGGGCTCATCGAGGAGGTAGCGGGGCCGGCGAAGGTGGTCCTCCGGGGATTGGTTTCCGGGCGGATCTCGGGATGCTACCGTTCGCGTTCTTTCTGAGTTGTTGGGGGGATTTGGGTTTGAGTGATGCTTCTACGGGTTAATCCAAGGATTTCAGAGGGTATCATTGGTCCTATGTTGGAGCTTACAGGGTCTTTCGCAGCTTCCAAACGCTTGGCAAGGCTTTCTTAAGAGCCTCCTTTGCATCAATGGCGGATCTCGGGTTCATGTGTACTTGGGTCGGGGGTCGTAGCAAGTAGTGATCTTAAAGAGTCCTTAGTACCACAACCTCAGTTAGGGTTAAAGTGTAGTGCAAGGGCCTGAAGCTATGACTGCTGCGAGCCCCAAACTCAGAGTTTTAGGGCTTCGAACTCATATCGCCCCTCATTTTTTATGCTAAACTGCTAAAAGCACTAAACCCCAAACCCTACATTCTATGTCGTCCTATAGCCCCTACACATCCGACTTCATACCGACTGAACAAACGCGTTTCTGAAGCATCCCAAGGGACTCCAATACAGGGTCCTTCAGAATAGTAACTGGGTTTAGGGTTTAGGGTTTAGTGTAGGGTTTACGGCTTTAGGGGTGTGGGGTTAAGTGTTTGATGTAGGGTTTAGAGTTAGGGGTTTAAGGGTTTAGGGCTTGGTGGTTAGAAGTGCAAGGTTTAGGGCTCGGGGCTTGGGGTTTATTTAGCGCTTAGAAGTCGAGAGTAGGTGAGCTACGGGGTCATACTTGCGTATAACCAGCGTGACTTACACAACCCTGCTAACCAAGAGGGTTCATATACACTACTATTGCGGAATTAGGTCCCCCAAACCATAATAAGTATGGTCTTTGGGGACCTAATTCCATAATGGTAGTATATATGGACCCTCTGGCTAATTACACCCCAACTGAGTCTCGTGATCCTGCAAGTACCTCTTATGTACCGGCATCAAGAGCTAGACTAGGGTTTGGCTATACTTTAGGGTTTAGGGCTTTAGGGGCTTAGGGTTTAGGGCTTTAGGGGACTGTACTCTTTGTTAGGATAGGGGCTGTGCGGGGGTAGGAGTAAGACTGTTTCAGACCCCTACTTTACAGGGCCAAGTAGAAGCCAGAAAGTTGGAACATCATGGTCCTCATGCCCTTCATTTTAAAACATAGGGGCTCCCTGCACTAATAATAATAGAATAGGGTTTTGGGGTATATTATAATATAATTATACTAAGGAACCACCAAANNGTATAGGTAATTATCAAGGCCCCTTTGTTATGTCCATGTTCCAACTCTCCGGGTTGAAGGGTTAGCAACCTAGACACTTTGAGTATTTTCAAAACAGTCATGCCGAATCCGCCTCTCCCGGATGTTGACGCGGACGCTGCGGCGGCGATTGCTGACGGGGGGGGGGGGGGGGGGGGGTAACTTTATGGTTCAACTCTTTCGTGTAGGGTTTAGGGAGTCAGGTTCTCATCATCGTCTTTACATCTGTTGTATGTCTTCCATAGTCGTTGCTATACGGAAGCGACGGTCAGAAGTAGGATCATTTCGCGACGAGCTCTGTGACTATGGTCATTGCGACAGCTACTCCGGGGAGGACGAAAGTCCAGATTCCAGGTGTACAGGAGCTGAGGTTGGGGTTTAGGGTTTCGGGTTT